TACCTATACCACGAAAAGGAACAATTTGGACCTTACTTGATCGTCGTACCTCTGTCAACGATCGGGTCTTGGCAAAATGAATTCCAGACATGGGCACCTGATCTAAATGTTATTATATATACTGGTAATTCTCAAAGTCGTGAAGTCATCCGCGAGCATGAATTCTTTTTCCCTTCCATCTCTTCATCAAGACGACCAAAGTTTAACGCTTTGGTGACGACATATGAATTCATTTTAAAAGATCGTTTAGAACTTGGAAGTATAAAATGGCAGTATTTGGCAGTGGATGAAGCACATCGCTTGAAAAACAGCGAGTCTCAACTCCATGAAGTATTATCAACATTTAATACTGCAAATCGTTTATTAATTACCGGAACGCCTCTGCAAAACTCGATTAAAGAATTATGTGCATTGGTAAATTTTTTGATGCCAGATTTTGAAATAAGTGCGGAGATAGATATTGAAGCACCCGATGCAGAACAAGAAGCTAAGATCCGTGAATTACATAAAAGCCTTGAGCCATATATGCTTCGACGTCTTAAAAAAGATGTCGAAAAATCATTACCGCAAAAGACCGAAAGGATTCTACGAGTTGGTTTATCACCATTACAGATGCACTATTATAAAAATATCCTTACGAAGAATTTTGATGTTTTAAATGAAGGAGTCACTGGTTCTTCTCAAATGAGCCTTTTGAATATTGCAGTCGAGTTGAAAAAGGCCAGCAATCATCCATTCTTATTCCCAAATGCCGAACCTCGAACGGTTCGTAATGAAGATCAATTGCGTGGTCTAGTTACAAACAGCGGAAAAATGGTACTTTTGGATAAATTATTAACAAGATTAAGAGAATCAAACCACCGAGTTTTAATTTTCTCTCAAATGGTTCGGATGTTGGACATATTAACAGACTACCTTAAATTGCGGGGTTACCAACATCAAAGGTTGGACGGAAGCGTTCCATCGGAAGCTCGTAAAAAGTCCATCGAACAGTTTAACGCCCCGAATTCACCCGATTTTGTTTTTCTACTATCGACACGTGCTGGTGGTTTAGGTATAAATCTTAATACAGCAGATACTGTTATTATTTTTGATTCTGACTGGAATCCGCAAAATGATCTTCAAGCGATGGCCAGAGCACATCGTATTGGACAAAAGAACCATGTGAACGTCTATCGATTCGTATCAAAAGACACGATTGAAGAAAGCATCCTCGAACGTGCAAAACGTAAAATGGTTCTTGAGTATTGCATCATTAAGCAAATGGATACTTCTGGAATGAGTATTTTGCAAAAGAATCCGAAAAATTCAAAACCGTCGGAGAATTTTAGTCGCGAGGAACTGTCTGCAATTCTCAAGTTTGGTGCTCAAAACATGTTCAAAGAAGAAGGTGCTAAAAAACTTGATGATCTCGATTTGGATGATATACTGGCTCGGGCTGAAACACACGACACGGTTGGAGACCAAACAAGCAGTAGTCTTGGTGGTGAAGAATTTTTGAAGCAATTCCAAGTCGCTGACTTTGGTGATGGAGATATGAGTTGGGAAGATATCATCCCTCAAGAAGAGAGGGAGCGACTAGCAAAGGTTGCCGCGGAATTTGCTAAAGAACAAGAGTACGATAATTATAATAAGGCAGGAACGAAGCGTAAGGCAGTTGTTCAAGGAGGTGGAACTAACGTAATTGACTCTGACGATGATGAAGACGAGCAACCGAAGAAAAAAGCTAATCGTAAGAAGAAGCAAACTAGTCGAAAGAAGAAAAAGGTGAATGATGACGATGAAGTTCGTCCCTTGAAGTCCAGGTCTAGACGAAAAGTGGTCTCGGATGATGAACTTTCACGTGAAGACAGGGATGCTTCTGACTCAGATTCTAATGATGGTCGTATGACGAAAAAGTCGCGATCACGTAGAAGGAAAGGCGATAACACGAATGGAAAAAGATCAAACGGAAGACGTTATAAACATTCGTCATCCGAAAATGAAGACGATCGTGTTACTCAAAAGAGATCCAAATCGAATAGGAAGCAAAAAGATTCGGAGGAAGACGACGAACCTATAAAGACATTAAAAAAACAAAAATCTGCTACAAGTTCATCACGTGAAATGACACAGAAAGATGTACGAGCATTAATAAAAGGGATTATGAAATTTGGTGACATTCATCAACGATATGAAGAAGTTGTTGCGGAGGCCGGTCTACAAGAAAAGGATCAGCAGCATCTACTCACAGTCTATGATGATTTATTTACGATATGTAAAAAGGCAGTTGAAGAACACGAGGCATCAAATGACGCTAACTTTTCCAACCCTCGTGGAAAGGCAATACAAACCACATATCGCGACGTAGACAAAATTAATGCGGGTGCGTTAATTCAGCGCGTTACTGATCTTAAAAGCTTACACGACAAAATAAAGGGTAAGTGTTTTTTGTATTTTTATTTATATGATTTTTGAATTCATATCAAAAATATTTAATTTTAAACCTCCTTTAGGCGTTGCAGATCCCGTGAGATTTAGAATCGCGATTTCCACAAAACCAGTTACGAATTGGTTTTCGGATTGGAGTCAACCCGAAGATGATTCTCTCGTGGTAGGAATATACAAACATGGCTTTGGTAATTGGAAAGCTATTCGCGGTGACCAAGACCTGGGCCTCGCTGATAAACTTTCCATCGATGAAGGTGATGCAGCCCACCGGACAGCCTTAACTGCCAAGGTCGTACGAAGGGCCGAATATTTGTTAAAGGTCGTCCGGGAAATGGACGATGAAGAGGAGGAACGGGTAAATATTAATTTTATCTTGCTTTATTCAATAATTAATAATTAATAAACTAAATTAATATTTATAATTACTAATAGGGTCGACGACTTCGATTTCGTCCTGGTTCTCGTGGGGATGGTCCTGGCGAAGCAGGTCCATCCGCACCCACTAAGGGGAAAAAGGCAGCGAAGCACACCAATAACTCAAATGAAGAAGATTCTATCCAACCACCAACTGATCGAGAATGTAAAGAGCTGCTACGTCCAGTCAAGGATAAACTTCAGTGGCTCAAGAAGGTAATTAATAAACATTTTCCCCTTATTTTGTTTAATAATCATATTTTAAAAAAAAAAAATTTTTGTTTTATAGGAATCGGGTCAATATAGTGGTAAGGAGAAGGCCAGACTTATTAAAGAGTCACTTAAGATTATTGGCGCTAAGATTGGAGATATACTTGTCACAAAGTCAACGGCCGAGAAAACTCAGTGGCAATTTAATTTGTGGCAGTTCGTAACGTATTTTTGGCCTCGAGAAATTGGGGCAGAAAAATTGATCGATCTGCATCGCAAACTAGAAGCTGCCGAGGCGGGCTTAGGCAATTAAAATCAATATATATATATATATATTTATTTATATATGTATAAGGAAAAATTGTTGAGTAGAAAACAAAAATTTAGCAATATTAAGAAGAAAAGGACAATGGAATAATTATAATTGGGGGGGTTTTTTTTTGATATGTAATGTAAAAAAAAAAGTAGATATAGCAATTAGTAGAGAAATATAAAATTTATGGTGGAATTAATCTACCTTTGTATATTTTATTAATAATATATATATATATATTATTCGGCTTTATACGTATAAAACCGAAATTTAATTGTAGATACAAGGAAAAAAAATATTTTTTTTTTTTAGTATATAGTGTATATTTTCTTATTAGGAAAATAATTATTATTTTGGTTTGGCAGGTGACAAACCAATAAAAAAAGCATTTATATTAATCAAAATTAATTACAAAAATTATAGTTTTTAATGTAATTAGCTACTCAAAAGAAATAAAAAAAAAAAACTTTTTAAATATTTTCAAGTATTTTGTTATAATTTTTAAAAAAGGTTAATAAAAAATTTTAATGTTTATAGGTAAAACATTGAACCATTTTTATTAATAATCTTATCAAAAATTTTAGCAATTTAAATATAATATACGGTATGCAGATTATATTATAAACCGTCTTATATTAAATTTTAAAGGTTTAGAATATTTTATATTTATATATATATTTAAGAGTTTTTTCTAACCATCATCCCCGATGATTTTTTTAAAATATCATCCCATATATAAATCATATGATTTACACAATATTTTCAATATTTTATTCAATTTACACAAAAATTTAGATAATAAAATTTAAATACAAGTTATATACCTATAATAGAACTAAGCAATAAAAATTTTCTTATTTTGATAATATAAAAATGTATGCCTATTTTCTTTGCAAATTTTGTAAGATGTAGTATAACTTCTTATATTATGTCTATCTATATAACAATTTTAACATATAATATCTCCTAAACTAATATTAAAATTTATTTGTTTATCATTAGAATCTTTTAAGCTATTTTCAATATATAACTTTATTTTTTCAGGTCTTTCTTTTGTATTTGCTTGTAATAGATTCTAAACTACATCTTAAGACTAATTGTTTATATTATTATTTGACTGTTCCGCTTATTGAATTTAAAATATGTGTTAAATTACCAATGTTGTTAACTTTCAATCCAATGTTGTATATTCACCATATATTTGTTTTTTTATAATTAAAAGCTCAATTTTAGAATCCTGATCTATCTAAGATTTTGAATTTCATACAACTAAACCTTCATTTGCAATATTTGTATTCTGATTATATATTTCAAAAGAATCATATATTATATTAATATTTTGTATATTAATACCTTTCTTATACTATTGATTTTTTATCAAAGTATGAGAAATTTTGCATTTCTGTTTATAATATTATTTAAAAAAATAATGGCAAATTAAATCTTTACTAATCAAAAGCAGATATATACAAATATATAAATAATCATAATATAATGTTACATAATTTGTTCATAAAGTATTTGTTTAATTTTCCAAATTTCTAAAATATTAAAATATTACCCAGCTGATAAAAGATTTAATTTGTAATTCATAATAGAAATAAATAAACCAATTAGTAAAATTTGAAAAAAAATCATCATAAATTATTCCAATTGTATAAATTTCCAAAGAATTACATAAAGTTATAAGTATTAAATAACTAAAACTATGACTTTAAATTAATATTTATATGATAAGCTTTAAATTTATAATAATAAATTCCTCTTTTTTAATAACAGTTCTTAACTTTATTATAAGGTAAATACAGATTTCACTTTAACTTCTAATTCTAGTTCAGATTAAGTAAGGTCTTAATACTAATCAAAACATTAAGTTGAGCAGTTAAAGAAAAAATTTTTTCATAAAGATATGAATGAAATTATAATTTATAGTTTATAAACTTATGATTAAATTCTAACAAAATTTATTTACTTATTACTTAATTTTAAGATTTTATTTAAAAAAACAGTAAAAAATACTGCCTATATATTATTGTATAATGCTAACATTAGTACACCCTTTGCAAAATATCCCTCTTGAATAGTAACAGATACTATTCAATCACCAAAAATAAAATTTTTGATTAATATCGGGGTACTAATAAATTAACCAATTAAATTGATAAACATGTCAATCAAATTTACCACAATGATGCTGATCAAATTTATCGTAATAATGTCGATCAATTTGAATGATTGTAATATATTAAATATAAAAATCAAAATTTATTATTATATTTTATACTTTATCAATATTAAATGTCATTATTT